TTTTTTTTTCTAGATGTTCGAGTAGGCTTTCAAAGAATTTCTGAGGATTTTCGGACAATATCCCAAACAGCTGCATGAATATATGCTACCAGCGGTAGAGTGTTACGTGCCGACAAGTACGCCTAACATTATTACACTGCAACGCGTCAGTCGAGCAACTGCTGCTACTCAACGCGAAAGAGACAGTGCGCTATAACTGACAGCAACTGGCAAATCTGAATTCTGAATAGGCTTTCGTACTGGAAATTTGCCAAATTTGAACTTTTTAGCTTTCTCGGCGTGCGGTTCGTAAGTCCTTTAAAAGCGAATGCGTGTTATTTATGCTTGTTTCCTAGCTCGTATATTTCAATTACTAACTTTAGTTTAGGAGGTGTTTTTTGTCTGGAAATACTGCGACTTAATTTTGGTAGAGGTTGTGTAGCGAAGAACCGAGTCACTATGTGTAATTAGTGTTGGATTCTATGCAAATTAAATGGCAAAAGAAGGTTAGTTTTGTTAAGTATAATCGTTGTCCAGAATTCCGTTCTCAAGATTCTTTTTTATCATATTTTCTCTGTTTTTGTACCTTCTGTTGAGTTTTGGTTAGCAATAAAAAGAAAGCCTTGTTTCTTTTTTTCTTTTTTTATCTCGTCGTCTTATTCAATCCCAGTAACGAGCTGACATCAGACATTTTATTAAATCATCCTTGCGCCAACAAAACCTCCCTTAACTTTTTTTTAGTTTTTTTAGTTCGAGAATTACTTTTGTTTCTATCTAATTTCTTTCTTCGATATACGGATAACTGATTGGTTGATTTTTTGTTTTTCTCTTCAAGTAAAGATATTTCTGCCGAATTTGACCTCATCTTTTTTTTTTCTCTGCTTTCTTCAGCTATGGAACAATCTGCTCCTTGCACCCCAGAGGCCGGTCCTCTTAATACGACTAGAGAATCCGATAATATGGTGATTTTTGTGTCTCAGTGATGCTTTTTTGAAACTTTATTTCTGAACCAAACGAAGGGCATCTTGTACCAATTTTTTTTTTGTTTGACGGTTTTGTCCTTTTTTATAAATTTAAAAGCATTAGATGTACGACTCCCGAGGTGTCCAGACTCCTGCATCTGGCGGTATGAATCAGTCGTATATTGGAGAACCGCAGAGCCCTTTGACCCAAATAGATCCCCACAGGTGCTTC